CACACACACACACACACACACACACACACACACACACACACACACACACACTCTCTCTCTCTCTCTCTCTCTCTCTCTCTCTCTTATTGTTGTTTGTTAGGTCATAAACGGGCCAAAGGATAGAGGTGTTACATACTCCTCCCCCCAAAAGAAAAGGAGGAGAGAGAAGGAAAATAGACGTTTGGTAAGCAGGAAAAAAGAAGCAAACCACACCAGAGCACCCACCAACCACACCAGAGCACCCACCAACCACACCAGAGCACCCACCAACCACACCAGAGCACCCGCCAACCACAGCACCCATCTCTCTCAGAGAAGGAGCCCCATGGACCGCCTTTGTAATAATGACTTATACTCTGTCTTGTACAGCGTAAAACACCGATCGATATCAGAAAAAGAAAATGAGGACAATTTATTGAATAATTGGTCGCTTTTAAGCACAAGGGGGCTATTCCGAAAAACGCTGTTTTTGAGAAAATCGAAGGTAAAGTTTTTACTCCTTTTTCAGATTCTTTAAACGACAAGGAGAGTTTGTCTATAACCAATCAAATATACCCACCAAAGAAACCAAACTTCTCCTAAAGGTAGGGCAATGCCTACTTTTGGTGTAGGTCAAGATTTCTGGAAACCCCCGAAATCTGGGTTAGCCCGCTTGTCCTTAAAAGCGACCAATTAATACTAAAAGAAAGGAATAAGGACAACTAGATTTGACAATGTATCAGGGTGGACAGTTTTACATTGTATGTACGTTCACCTCAGATGACGGGGAAAAGAAAAATAATAACATAATATCTCTATCATAAATGCAACTGCGTATTAGAGTCAATAACATTATTCCGTTGCTACAACTTTTTCATACCCTGTAAAGTTTATCTGGCAGCGCAACTAGATATTGACCGAATAATTCTGTAGTCACAGCCTGATACTTCTCCGCATTTCATTTGGTCAAACTTTTGGAGCGCAGCCAGAAAATTATAATAAAACGCTTGAACAAGTAGCAGTTCACGCCGAAGTAAAGCTTTCCATGTTTTACACTCACGCACACGTACACGAACACACACGCACACTTAAACACACACACACACACACACACACACACACACACACGCACGCATACACTCATACACACGCACCCGCATACACTCATACACACGCACGCACACGCATAAACACACACAGACACAAAAACAAACACTGATAAGCACATCCCCATGCTAAGTGTATTTATGAAAATACGTTTGATTTTCTTAAAGTTTAAAGAAAATAGC